TATAATCACCATCAAAACCACTATCTGCAATACAGTTTTTGGATTTCTTGTATAAACTCTTACAGTCCATTTCAGCTTTAAGCGCCTTCTCAGATAGCTTCTGCGTATGCTTCTCCCCGAAGGTACAAACTGGACAAGCGGGGTCATACTTGTGAATTTCAGGTGTCATACTCTCCAAGCAATCGGCATGATAAACATGTCCACAGGTTAGTATAGCAGCAACAGAAAGTTCATTGTTAGCAATAATCCTTTGGCTACTCCACGAGGATTTCTCGGTCAACAGCTTCAAGCAAACTCCGCAAGTTTGCAAATCAACTGGGGAAGTTGAAAATTGACTACTAGATCTGCCTATTTTCTCACCGTTAAACCCAAACGAGTCACTATCAAAAGACCACCTTTCTCTATGAGAAGTGGCCATGAGTTCTGAGAAAGCATGTACAGACCAACAATCTGAAGACCCTCCATGTGATTCCCGGACCGATTCATTGCTCCAAGAGGGAAGCCTTGGTCTATCGTCAAAAGCTAAATAGCTACTTGGGGATTTTAATCCTCGGATTCGGCCGTCAGACACTTGACGCAACAGCTGATGTCCTGGAGATCGATGGGAACACCTTGTTAGGGATGAATTAGTTGGAGGCAGATAGCTCTGTGATGACAAAGGAGATGTTGACAAAGATGAAGCTGAAGGCAATGAAAGTGACAAATTTGCAGGAGACTTATATGAAGCTGCGGGAGATTCTGTAGCCTCCTTCACCTGCTTGGACCAGAGAAAATTCATCTCGTGGACTAGGATAACGGGTTTAGAAAACCAGGAAATGCACAAAAAGCTCAACTGGAATAGACCTTATTTTACCTGTTCTAGATTCACATCTATCGATAAATTCCTTGAATTTGATTGACCTGCCAGGAACAAATAGATCGTGTGAGACATGACTATAATAAATAGTGGAGGTGCGTGGTACTGAAACAAAGAATGAGGGTGGAGAGTGAAATGATTTGAGAATGGAGGTAATAATGGGATAGGGTAGGGATTATAGGAAGAATGAGAGGGAGAATTAGTTGAAAGAGAGCAAGTGAAAAAGGTGAGATTGAAAAAGAAGAAAAATAGCAATGCATCAAAGAGGGATTTCAGTTGGTCGTCAGGCTTTCGAACTTAACAAGGGACACCAACCAACCGGTCAGTTTTTCTACAAGACTATAACTGACTTCATTTCATCACTCCTCAGAATGAACTATTGCTGTCATATCTTCATTTATGTTCATGCTTCAATCATTTTAAACAATAATACAGATCTAAATTCTTTGACTAATGAGATCAAAAATAAACTTTAGATAACAGAGGTTGATAATAAACTAACGAAGAGCTCGGTGCATAGAGCAATTGTGATGCATAATGATAAAAACAGGAGACAGAAAAAGGGAAAATCAAATCAAGAATGTTAGGGGAACGAAATCGAGCTCATTATATTCTCAAATTAGAATTTAAGGATTTTTAAATTCTACCATCTGAATGCTTACCTGAACTAGGAGTTCTTAAACTATTAGTTGTGCCTTCTGGCGGTGGGGACTTTTGCCATGTACGTCGTCTACGGAGATGTTCGAGTGGACTTCCATCCTCAGACGCATATGCTGACTCACACTTCGGTTCCACTCTATCATTGCGGCTAACACTATCAGAAAACCAACTTATCGAAGTCTCTTCACCTGCTACCCGTCCACGATTATCCCATCGAAAGCTCCAATTAGGTGAATACCTTATATTCCTACATAAGGTTTCACTCCCAGATCCACTAACTATAGTCTTGTCCCTAGCAGCAACACAACAAACAGACCCCATGCTGGAGAAGGACCAAGACTCAGGTTTATATGACTTCGCCACACGAGTTCCCAAAGCTCTTCAAAATTAGAACTCTGAGAATAACCCCAGCATCATGCCTCTCAAAAAAATACCAAAACTGTATTGTGTCTAAATTCATGATAAACAGAACAGAGTTATCATAAGATAAGATTATAAGGCCAAGGACATTTCAACATACAAAAATCTACCCACAAACCATAGAGCACCACCCAATATTGTCAATGCAATAACATTTGATAAAAAAGCTCGTCCAAAATAACAAAACGAACCTTTTCTAGCTAGAAAAGAATAAAAACTAACGTGCTTCTGAGTTCAGAAAAGAACTCAAGCACAGAATGAATAAGAACCCTTAACGAACAACACAAAAGAGCATCTCCGTAACTGCAGGCATAAAACACAGATACCCAAAAGTTACCCGATAGAGAATGCATTCTTGGATTTTCATTTCCAAACAATAATACGATCACCACAACACAAGAATGTCAAAGTTCAGATTGAAATCCTAACTTCTCCTAGTTCCTTAAGAAAACCTTCCAAAAAAAACCATCCTCCATTATAATGCGTCAACTTTCTAGCTTCCACAAAATGAGTTATGGAACTAATTAATCACAGTGACTGAAAAACACAACCGCACAAAACCAATGGACACGGATTCGGTTCAATCTGTGAAATTTGTGGAAGCTATGAGTAAGTCTAAATCAAAAACCCTAAAATTAGAATCCAAAAAAGAAAACAGAGAATCAATCACTTACACAAGTCAGCGAGATCCGAAAAATTAGCCAAAAATACGCAAATAAATCCAACCAAATGTCACCAAAGAATTAAAGCCAAATCCAAAGAACAAAAAACATAAGAATCACACCAAAAAAAAAAAAAAAAAAAACAAAAAAAAAAAA